CGATCGTTTGGCCGGGGCTTTATAAAGCAGCTTCCTTCAGCTTCGAGTGTAAACATGTGATTCAAGTAAAAAATATCCTTTTTGCGTTACTACGCAGGAAACACCAAGTGGATATCTTTTTGGTTGTCACTACCGGGTTGAAAAGGGTTTTCCGCCTTGCAAAACAAACTGGCCTTAAGAGCTAATTTTCAGATGAGATTTTGTTCCTTGTTAAGAACAATTGTTTTCTATCAGTTACTTGGCATGTCATTTTATTATATATCAAGTGCATGTCACGATTGCCTGATCCGAAAATAAAAGTCTAAACGTTGTGAATCTTTCTAATTCCCGAGGCAATCCTGTACTAGCTTGTAATGAAGTCTTCCGCATTGGGAAATTGATGAGATTTTATTCAAAATATGTTTTTGTGTCACTTATCTCATAGGAAACCAATTAATATCGAATCTCAATTTTATTTCAACGTAAATGAAGAGAGGCTTTCCGCCTTGAGAACAAATCATCCGACATTTTTGCTTGTTCTAAATTGCACCATTTCCTTCGATCAGTTGTTGTTCTAGTCTATTTTTCATTAGACTACTACGAGAGACCAATTAATCCGAAAAATGCAGCTTTGTCCCTAAATTTAGCGGGTTTCTTTGGTTAATTCTGAACTAGGGTTTGGTAGAAAAGACGCTTTATCAATTCGCCAGTTCAAGATTGATTTAAATGTCAAGTAAAACAACAACGTAAGTGAAAGTTACAACAACTAACCACTCTGACACTGAATGATTACCAACACGACAGCAATGACGAGCCAAAGTCTCATAGTGAACAGTGTTTCAGTTTCTAGCTTGTCAGCAACAGCGTACAAAGAACCGTGGACTATGCAAAGCGCACAATGGAGTTGCGTATTTATGTGCTCACTTGCTAAGTTATATTAGCTTGTTGAGAGAAATGTTTATTATATATAGCCTTCAAGTTATATAGACCTCCTTGGGTAAGTGTTTCGTGTTTATAGCTTTTTTTTTCTTTTTTGAAAGGTGATTTTCTGTGTACAAAATACATTACAGCTGACGAAGGGATGACCACGTCATAAGGTCTAGTATAATGGCGGCTTTAACCTCACAATATCAAAAGACAACCTCTGCATTTGTATACGCATTTTATCGTTCTAATATGCATAAACGAAGAAACTCCTTTAGTCTTTAGTCTTGAGCAATGGCTGTCGGACAAATCTCTCATGTGACGATTTCCGAAAATCTTCAAACGCGTTTTACGTGAGATTAGAGGTCCACCATTCGGGGAAAGCAGTTTTAACATTAAATAGCAACATCCTTAGCCTTAATGACAAGTATAGTTAGGCTAAATTGACCTCCGATATAGACTTTAAGTGGTATGTAAATTTTAATATTATATTTGTATAAGCAGGATAGATTTAATGTGTATAAATAAACTTTCAAATATTGTGCTTTCTTACCTTACCTATTCTAGAACCATGAAAAAATGGCCATGGAACTGAGAAACAACAAAGCAAACCAGGCCACTCGTGCGTGTAATAAACCCCACCTATGCTTCTTGTACATTTATTCTCCATAAGTACAATGCATGCAGGTTAATTTGTTGTCTTTATTTATTCTTAAAATGCCAATATTTATATTGCATGCTTAGCCCGTTTGTAAAAAAGCCGAAAACACCCCTGAAATAATAATAAGAAAAAAAATTAAGCCAGGTCTTAATTTGTCCCTTGTAAGTGTTTTTCTTTTTCTTTGATGTTGATTTCCAGAGTTTGGCTTTAATCAAATCCAAAAGTATTCCTGATATGGCTTGGCTGCGTGCGTTGAGGGAATCCAGAAAGAAGCCGATACAGTCCAGTGGAGATCGACAATTGAGGACCGGACTACAAAGGCAAATATAGCTAAGACAACTGTGATTAAGTATATGAATTCGAGGCCACGACAGCAATTATTTTTAAGCTTAATTTTAGAGATCCAATTTGCCTAGTAAAATTTTGAATAAGAAAGAAATACTGCAAAAGCACCTGGACATTTTTAACATGCAAATCGTGACCCCATTATGAAACAACCAAAAAATTTTATTACCATTTTTCTTTCAACAAATGCAAAATGTTACAATTTTGGAATTTAAGAAAAAAATATTCATTGATTTTAAAATGTGAATGTTTCAAAACATTGTGTGGGAACGATTTTTGCACAAATTCAGGATAAGGTATCAATTGAAAACATCGAAAGATCCGATGGAAACGCCTTATTTTAACTGATTTGTAGATCTATTTTCAGTCTGACATGACCAAAAATAGTTCTACACTGCTACAAAATGTTTTTTTTTTTTACCTATATGCAAATTTCAATTGCGTATATATGGTTTTTTTAGCAGCATTTTTTACCATAATTCCCCAAATAAAATCTTAGTTTCCTTACCAACAACAACAACAACAAACTGTATTGCACCGGTCAGAAATATTTTTAAAGGGTACAGCAACATGAAATAACTAAAAAGCTAAAAAGTTTCATGAAGCCATACTAAATAAAAATCATATGTTTATAGCATTCTTTTACACTACCCTAACGACTCCATATAGGGGTACAGTTCCTAAACCAGTCTAACCAAGGTTGACATAATCTCTCCTCCAATTTTGAACCTCCTCAAACGATTTTTGTATTCAAAGGCTGTAAGTCAGGTATCATATTAGGACTATAATTGGGGTTACATCCTTTATGGTAAAAATACATTTGACTCCTAAGTTTATCCCAATAATTAACTCAAAGTTGCCTGTTGATTTCAGTATTTTTCGTTTACCGAGGCTATAATGAGATGCCCTCCAATCTCTTTACCAAATATCTTCCCCGTAACGAAGAAACACCAATACAGTTCTACGCGTCTAGCTGCAGAGCCATATGTGAATACCCTTAGGCCCTATAAACAATCTTCGAACAAAATCGAACAGAAGCCTTCTCTTCCCGAGAATTCTCGCTCCTAATTTTCGCCTTCACATTTATACACCAAAATAACAACCCAGTTGTCGTTTAACAAATTCGGCCCGGTGTAGCTCCCATTTTTACTTGTATGATTTTGATGCTGTGTTAAGGTATTCTGGCCCGGTTGTATGAAAGCCGATAAACACTGACGAAGGCTAAAAAGTGAATGACGTTCTTACTGTTTTCATATCCTGTGAGACAGAGACAATTCATAGCAAGAAAACTTTCCGCAGCAATTTAATGTTCCAGTGGAAAGAGGATCTTACAGCTCTGACTACCTTAGTGAAGGTTTGAACAATTTTTTTCGAATCCCTGTTTAGACCAAGCGTATCGCGATTCCTCACCTAGCAGAATAAAGGAGTGAAAAGTTAGCTAAATTTTTTGGGTAGCTGCTTTCCTTGAATAAGAAATTATGTACATGCCGAGGTGTTTTCATTGTTTTATCCGAAAAACAAGGCGAAAAGAGTCCCAATTATTAATAAGAGGTCGATTGGCAATTTAAAACATCAGTGCAAACATAGAATCCTTATGTATAAACTATATTATTACGATCATGTTTGTCAAGTTATGATGGAAGAGAATAATTTTTTTTTTGACAACGAAATAATAGAAAGTAGATTAATTGCATTATTACGGACAGTTTTTGAATAGTTATTTGATATCTCGCCTTGATAACTTAAAAGGACTGGTTTAGTTTTAAAAATGTATCAAAATTGCCGAAAATTTAGAAGATTCTTATGCTAAATACCAAAACAATGGCAAGGTTATGTAAAACGACATTAAAAGAAAGGTCAAATTTGCGTCTACAAAAATAACGTGGTTTTAAGTAAAAATGAACAGTGTAGCTATAGAGCGTTTTCACTAACGTGCCAGCAACCATGAAAATTTAAGAAAGATAAGAAAGTCTTTAAAACAGTTTAACTCACACGGGATTGGTTTGGTACACAAATATGGCCATCGTTTCATTGTTTTGAACCTCCAATATGGCTGCCTTGACGTCATTTGAAGACGTTCTATCGTGAAATAAGGTCCAATAACTTCCGCATTGCTCAGAAAGCATGGGTCGCGGAGACCATTTTTAATTGGTAGGACTAAAAAATCAGGCCAATACAAACAAACATTAAGGTCAGTGTTTCGCCATTTATCTTGCATTTGCGTGACATCTGGACCCCTAGAAAATATAATCCCGGCTGGTAGGGCTATAGTCCTACCAGCCTATCCTCCTCTGCAGTCCCTGGACAGTTAGACACCCAGACCTTAAAATTCCCTCATTGTTTAGACTGTCGTTATTTACCAGTGAATTAATTAGACAATCCTACTTTCAAAAGAGAAATATCATTTTGTTCTCTTTCTGATATAACCTGAAACGGTTTTCAAAGAGAGAGAGAGACAAGAAAACCACACTTAACAGAATGAACTCAAGTGTCTTAGTTTTCATATGGGCTTTATCCCAAGAATTTTGTTGTAAATAAATCAATGCAATTAATCCAATTAGTGGCCTCACTATGAATTTGTGCATTGATTCTAAAAGCCTCTTACATCAGGACTACAGAGTAACATGTCATTAAGTGCAAAGCTGTTCAAGTGATCTTGTTTCATCATTAGTGAAGTGTTTGTCTAAGAGACCGTCGGACGTGTGTTGTATGAGGCGTAGAACAAGGACGTGTGCTATGACAAGCAAACCGGTCATGTTCGTGTAATATAATTTTTATTGCCTTGCCGTTTTACATTACTTTTGTAAGTCTACCACTACGATTATTACGGTGGGCGGAATCGTCGTCTTGATCTATTTTCATGAACGAATTAGTGGTAATCGTCAATCTTTTACCTTTTTACACTTCCATCGACGATTAATCAGCGCGAGTTTATCTCTGTTCACTTTTAAATGGCAAGAACTTACAGAAGCCACGTTGTATATTTACACCGCCGCCGGCGCCGCCATCTCCTCCGCCTCCACCACCACCACCGCCGGCTTCACCACCACCACCTCCTCCTCCGCCGTCGCCGCCGCCACTGCCACCCCCACCACAGCTAAGCACTAAAATAAAGACAATACAATGAAAAAGGCGTGGTCAAGAACTGAGATTATCTCTTCTGGTACGACACTTGAAGTAAACAATACACCTATGATTTGTTTGCTCACAATTTCCCTCTCATAGAAACGATACTGACGATGTTTGATAAGGCAGCCTCTTTCAGTTTCAAGAGCTAATCGATTCAAGTAAAAATATTATTTTCGCCTTATTGTGCAGGACATACAGAGCGAATATCTGTTTGGTTGTTATTATTATTGAACAAACACTGTCGGATTGGAAAGTGTTTTCCGCCTTCTCAAAAATTGGCTGTGAACGATAAGTTTTACACAAGTTTTTGTTCCATATTTCAAACAATATATTTTGAACAGTAATTTGCCATCTCATTTTATTGTTTTTCAAATCAGTAACATAATCGTCTTATCCAAAAGAAAAGCCTGATTTTTCTGAACCTTTCAAACTTCCCAGTCAATCCTGTACTAGCTTNCACCACCACCTCCTCCTCCGCCGTCGCCGCCGCCACTGCCACCCCCACCACAGCTAAGCACTAAAATAAAAACAATACAATGAAAAAGGCGTGGTCAAGAACTGAGATTATCTCTTCTGGTACGACACTTATATACTATATGATTACTTATATACCTATGATTTGTTTGCTCACAATTTCCCTCTCATAGAAACGATACTGACGATGTTTGATAAGGGCAGCCTCTTTGAGTTTCAAGAGCTAATCGATTCAAGTAAAAATATTATTTTCGCCTTATTGTACAGGACATACAGAGCGAATAATTGTTTAGTCGTTATTATTATTGAACAAACACTGTCGGATTGGAAAGTGTTTTCCGCCTTCTCAAAAATTGGCTGTGAACGAGTTTTACACAAGTTTTTGTTCCATATTTCAAACAATATATTTTGAACAGTAATTTGTCATCCCATTTTATTGTTTTTCAAATCAGTAACATAATCGTCTTATCCAAAAGAAAAGCCTGATTTTTCTGAACCTTTCAAACTTCCCAGTCAATCCTGTACTAGCTTTTAATAAAATCCTCCTCATCGGGAAAGTAAGGTGATTTTCGTCAAAATATGATTTTCTCTCCCTTATCTCATAGGAAATAACCAACTAATTCTTATTTCAACGCGAATGAAGAGAGGCTTTCCGACTTAAATATCAAGTCCTTTGAACTACCATTTTAACCCGCAATTTTTGATTGTTCGGAACTACATCATTTTCTTTGATTTGTACTGGTCTACTTTTCATCAGGACCGCTACGAGAGGCAAATCCGAAAAGTGTAGTTCTTCTTTTTTAGTTTAATCGAGTTTCTTTGGTTAATTCCGAACCCGCGTTTGATAGAAAAGACGTATTATCAATTCGTCAATCTAAGAGCGACTTTAGTGTCAGTTAAAAAACTACTTAAATCGAAAGTTACTACAACTAACCATTCTGACACTGAATGAGTACCAACACGACAGCAATGACGAGCCAAAGTCTCATGGTGAACGGTGTTTGAGTTTCTAGCTTGGCAGCAACAGCAGGAAAAGAACCGTGAACTGTGGAAAGAGCACACTGTGCTTGCGTATTTATGTGCCCACTACCTAACTTATATTAGCTTGCTGGGAGAAATGTTTATTATATATAGTCTTCAAGTTATTTAGGCTTCCTTGGGTAAGATTTTCCCATTTATAGCTTTTTTTTTTATTCAAGGTTGATTTTCTGTATAAAAATACATTACAGCTTACGAAGAAATGGCCACGTCATATGGTCTAGTATAGGCGGGCTTTTCTCCGACAACCTCAAAGCGTAACCTCTGCATTTGAATAAGCATTTCATCGAACTGATATGTATAAATGTAGAAACTCCTTTAGTCAAAGTGGTGGTCATCTCTTGAGAAATGGCCAACAGGCGAATCTCTCATTTGACGATTTTCGAGAATCGTCGAACGCTTTTACGTGAGATTAGAGGTACGCTATTCATGGAAAGCAGTTTTAACATGATATAGAAGCATCCTTAGCCTTAATGATAAGTATAAGTAGATAAATTGACCTCCAATATAGACTTTGAATGGCGTGTAATTAATCCTATATCAACAGGATAGATCTAATATGTATAAAAAAAGTTTTTATGTATTTTGCTTCCTTACCTTCCCTATTCTAGAGCCATAACAAAATAGCTATGGAACGGAGGAAAAATTAAGAAAACCAGGCCACCCGTGCCTTTGAACCCTATATAATCTTCTTGTACATTTATTCTCCATAAGTACATTGCAGGCAGGTTAATTTGTTGCTTTTATTTATTTTCGAAAATAATAATAATGATAATCATCATCATCATCATCATCTAGCTCTTAATTTGTCCCTTGTAAGTGTTTTCCTTTTTCTTTGATGTTGCTTTCCAGAGTTTAGCTTTAATCAAATCCAAAAGTATTCCTGATATGGCTTGGTTGCGTCCTTTGGGAAAATCCATAGAGAACCTTACACAGTCCAGTGGACATCGGCAATTCAGGACCGGCCTGAAAAGGCAAATATAGTCAAGACAAATATCATTGAGTATATGAATTCGAGGCCTCGAGAGCAATTATTTTCAAGCCTAATTGTAGAGACCCAAATTTCNAAAAAAAGTTTTTATGTATTTTGCTTCCTTACCTTCCCTATTCTAGAGCCATGAAAAAATAGCTATGAAATGGAGGAAAAACAAACCAGGCCACCCGTGCCTTTGAACCCTATATATTCTTCTTGTACATTTATTCTCCATAAGTACATTGCAGGCAGGTTAATTTTTTGCTTTTATTTATTTTCGAACCTAATAATAATGATAATAATCATCATCATCATCATCACCATCTAGCTCTTAATTTGTCCCTTGTAAGTGTTTTTCTTTTTCTTGGATGTTGCTTTCCAGAGTTTAGCTTTAATCAAATCCAAAAGTATTCCTGATATGTCTTAGTGGCGTCCTCTGGGAAAATCCATAGAGAACCTTACACAGTCCAGTGGAGATCGGCAATTCAGGACCGGCCTGAAAAGGCAAATATAGTCAAGACAAATTTCATTGAGTATATGAATTCGAGGCCTCGAGAGCAATTATTTTCAAGCCTAATTGTAGAGACCCAAATTTCCCAAGTATGATTTTAAATAAGAAACAAATGCTGAAAAAGCACCTGAACATTCTCAACTTCCAAATCATGAACCCAAATGAAACAATCAAAATATTTCATTTATCAGCAAGTGCAAAAGTCGTGGTCATAACCGTTTGAACCTTGCATTTTTGGAATTTAAGAAAAAAAATTAGGCATTGGTTTTAAAATGTGAATGTTTAAAAGCATTGCATGGGAACAATTTTCTGCACGAATTCAGGATAAGACATCGATTGAAAACATCGAGAGATCCGATGGAAAAGCTTTATCATAACTGATATGTGGATTTATTTTCAGTCTGACATGACCGAGAATAGTTCTACTCTAATACAAAATGTTTTCTTTGACCTATGTGCAAATTTCAATTGAGTATGGTGTTTTTTTAACAGCACTTTTTCACCTCTTCTTGCCCAAATAAACTCTTAGTTTCCTTACCGACAACAACAACACAACAAACTGTATTGCAGCGGTCAAAAATGTTTTGGATAAATTGCAAGCAAATATCAATTATAGTTATGAAAGGTTACAGCACCTTGAAATAACTAAAAAGCTAAAA